GCATCTATTTCTTCCCCTTGATGTGGGGGTCTGTAGCAGACCCCTACCACCAAATCCCTTTCTCCTTGCCCCCCATGTAGCCTAATCCACAATCCTTCTACTTCCTCATCCTTGGATTCCGTCTTGATGAGGGTTGACGTATATTGCTCATTGACATAGAGCGCAACCCCTCCCCCTTTTTTCCCCACCCTGTCCTTTCTGTACAATCTATAACCCTCAATATGTACCGCCCAGTCATGATTGACCACAAGATGAATATGAGCCCCCAAGTGATGTTGTAGCTGGTAAAGTGAGCAAAACTCTGGCTTGCATCCATAGATGCTTCTCAAACAAATCCCATGATGTCATCCTCCTGCTGTACTCGGCCTTGGTGAGGCTGTAGCTGGAGCACTGCATCCATTTCTGGGCTCCATAATTTAAAAAGGATGGGGAGAAGCTTGAGAGTCCAGAGGAGAGCCACGTGCATGATCAGAGGGCAGGAGAACAGGCCTTATGATGAGAGGCTGAGAGCTATGGGACTCTTCAGAGTGGAAAAGCACAGGCTCAAGGGAGACCTGTTGGCTGCCTATAAGTATATAAGGGGTGTACATCAGGATCTTGGGGAAAGCCTGTTCACTAGAGCACCCCAAGGGATGACAAGGTCAAACGTTCACAAACTCCTCCAAGACTGTTTCAGGCTAGACATAAGAACTTCTTTACTGTCTGAGCTCCCAAGGCCTGGAACAGACTGCCACCAGAGGTGATGCAAGCACCTACTCAGGACTCCTTTAAGAGACATTTGGATGTTTATCTTGCTGGGATCTTTTGACCCTAGCTGATTTCCTGCCCCTGGGGCAGGGGGCTAGACTCGATGATCTTCTGAGATCCCTTCCAGCTCTAATGTTTATGAAATCTATGAAGTTTGCTGTGTCACCAACTCCCTGGAGAACATCTGTCCAAACTTCCTTGGACACTTTCTTTAAGAAAGTAGACAAAACTCAAGAAAAACCTGCAGCCAAGACTCCTGAGAAGACTCCAGTCAAGAACCCTTCAAAAAGTCCAACCAAGAGCCCTTTAAGAAGTCCAGCAAAGTCACCTCAAAGAAGTCCTTCCAAATCAGTATGATTGCTATTCACAATATAAATACATTAATGTAGCTATATTACTCATTTATAATTGATCAAGTACAAAATTCTGGTGTATTTTTGGTGAAAATAAGGTATCAGGCCTTGGGTTAGGAACCAGTCCCCATTTATAACATTGTTTCTCATGAGAAAATTGATTCCGAGTTGCAATGTTTTGACTTAAGACGTGGTTTTCAGGAACCAATTGTGCTGCAAGTCCGAGGACTGCCTGCACAAAGATGGCCTGGAAGGTAGCACCAAGCTTGTCTGAATGGAAAGGCACCTTCAGAAGGGGAGAGAGACAGTTAGGGTATGTCACTTAATTTGCCAGAAGTAGAGATGCCTTCAACGTGTTAAAAAAATGTAGAAGAGTTTTATTTATTATGGGGATTCTGCAGTATAGGATACAGATGTGCGCTCTCTCAGATGAAGTTAGCATGTGATTGATCTCAGAGTCAAGACGGGCACAACAACACATAGGAAACAAGGAATACAGAACTGGCTGTGGAAGCCACAGATTCTGTCCCAATAAATCTGACATGCTCTCTCTAGAAGCTTCTTGGTGATGATTTTCTCTTATAAAAGGGAACCAACACACTTTTGATTAATGGCTTAGTTCAGGGGTTTCCAACTTCAATTGGTTCATAAACCACTTTCTTAAAAAATTGTTATGAAGTAGTGAAGTTATGAAGTAAATATAAAGCTCATGTACCACTATTGGGGACCTCCTGGTCTAGTTTTCCAGAGCTTGACATTTGCCATATGTCACAGCGGGGTCCTACAGGAGGGCCGTGATCTCCTTAAGGCCCCCTTTCTCTGTGCCAAGTCGGCCCAAGGACACCCTCTAATTCTCGCCCGCCACGTCTTTGATGTTCCAAAGGAAGTTATGAAGTAAATATAAAGCTCATGTACCACTATTGGGGACCTCCTGGTCTAGTTTTCCAGAGCTTGACATTTGCCATATGTCACAGCGGGGTCCTACAGGAGGGCCGTGATCTCCTTAAGGCCCCCTTTCTCTGTGCCAAGTCGGCCCAAGGACACCCTCTAATTCTCGCCCGCCACGTCTTTGATGTTCCAAAGTATGTTAGGGAGGCTGCCTTACGTCTCCTTGGACACAGTTACTTCTGGCCCCATGAACTTCCGGACTCTTCGTGGGTCCCGCTCTACAATGGGTGCTTCAAGAGCACCCTTATGGGCTATGCGTGGCTCCAACCACCCCTTATACCACACCCCAAGCCTCGCAGTTGGAATGGATGTTGGTCTGTCAAATACACTCGCCCTCTCTCTGGGGCCTTCTCAGCACTGCTGCCCCCTCTCTGGGGCCTTCTCAGCACTGCTGCCCCCTCTCTGGGGCCTTCTCAGCACTGCTGCCCTCTTCTCTGGGGCTCTCCGTGGCCACACTGGGCCTTCTCAGTAATACCGCCCCTTCTCTGGGGCTCTCTGTGGCCCCACTGGGCCTTCTCAGGAATGCTGCCCGTCTCTCGGGCCTTCTTGGTAAGGCTGTCCTGCCTCTCAGGCCTACCGCACTGCTACCCTCTTTCTCCGGGGTTCACCACAGTGCTACGCCCTTCCTCGCAGGGGCCTTCCGCAGTGCTACGCCCTTCCTCAGGTGCTCGCCACACCCACACTGGGGCTTCTCAAACGCCCCTCTCTGGGGCTGGGGTCTATGCACCCTGTACGCCGCGCCCTTACTGGAGCTGGGGCCCCCATGCTGCTGTGGGTCCCCTATAAGGCCTCCTCCAACCCCTAACAGCCTCACCCAAACCACCAGTGTAATAAATAACAACAAAGCAAAACACAAGCCTCTTGGTTACAACTTAAACATAAGCTACCTGGCTATAACAACATTGCTCCCACGTCCCAGAGCTGCCATCCTTTACTCGGCTTGAGTAGTACCTGCGGTTCTCGCATCTTAGCTCCAGGAGCTCCTCTCTGTCTGGCTGCTGGCAGGTAACTGCTCTGGCCTCAGCTCCTGGGCTTTATAAGAGCCAGGCCCTGCCTCTTCCAGTCAGCTGACCTCCTGGTTGCCCTGGCAACCCACAGTTGGGCTCCTTATTCCCTGCTAGGGCTCGTTCCCTGGCAGTTTCCCCTCTCTAGGAGCAGGGCACCTCACTGCTCTGCGACACCATACAAAAAGAGAAGGGGGAAAAAAGAAATGCAACACCAAGACATGCAAGTGAAAACTCCCTGTATGTAGCACAAAATTTAACATCTTGCATATCAAAAGCTTCCAGCTCCACCAGATACCACAGGGACAGAACTTAAGAGGTCTTAAAAGTACCCCAAGAAGTCTCTGTACACTCATTTTAAAGAGTACTGTGCATTACAGAACTTTAAGGAGATTCTTATACTAAAAGAATAAATTATTTCTTGCAAAGCTACATATCAGCAAGATCTAGCATATTACGTGGTCTCAGATTTCCACATTATTCTGCAAGTTTCCTCCCAGAGAAGACTGAAAATACACAAAGTTCTATGTTAGTATTTGATGGTTATGGTATGGAAGAGTAAATCAACAGAAAGTTTTCTATTTGAGTTATTTCACTCATTTGTTTTCTTAAATACTGGGCTTAACAGAATACCTGAGATCTAAACATCACCCTATACAAATACAAATATTAATTGTAAAAGTTGCAACCTATATTTTTCAGCCTGGGTAGGACAAGGTACAAAATTAAAAAAAAAATTCATTTTTACAACTACTTTACCAGTGATAGTTGCAGCTTCAGCAGACAATGGTTGCTGGTTAAGACTACTTGTTTCAGAATCTATGTGGAGTGTAGTTAAACTAGCCACTTCTTGTTCCTCAGCACTTTGCTGGTGTCCTGAAATTGCATCAATCTCAGTGGAAGCCGGTGTCCCAGCATCAGTACCAAAGCTGAAATCTACAGTGAGGAAAAAGCTATGTTAATTGACCCATTGTTGATAAAATACAATCTTAAAAAATATTCCTAATCAAGCATAAAAACTAAAGACATTTCCAAAAATTTCATATAAATAAGCTCCATATGAACATCCCTTATGTTAACAATACACAGCTCTAGAAAATTATTCCAAAATATTAAAGTAGAAAACTATTTCCTATTCCAAATACTTCTCTATTTTCAGCCAAAAACTGAGTTATGTGAAACACTGCTACTGCTCAGTTGGCAAGGTTATAATTACATAAGAATGAAATAAAATTCATATAGATTCTTCCAAACAATGAAATGCCTAAAAGACAAATCTCTAAGTTATTCACTTAAAACGTTAATAGTAATTGAGAATATGACAGCAAGTTAGTTTCCTGCAAACAGAAATGAAGCACTATTTTGTTTACTTGGTTTTAGATTCAGCATTTTTGACATCATGGCTGCTTACAGATATGGAAACCCCGCCTCAGTGCTTTAAGCTTGATGAGTCCTTGTGCCAAGCGCAGCACACGCCCAGAAGAGACATTGCATTAGTTTGACCTGGCTATCTCAACATCTGTACAGACTGTTTGCTTCAGTGGGGATTTTTGGTGCTTTTATCTAATAGCTGATTGAAACAGCTTTAAATAAAAGTGTCAAAAAGCCCCAGTGAAGCATGAAATCTATACAGATGCTGGGGAGTCAGGCTGAAATAATGGAATGTGTTTTCCAGGAAAGTGCAGAGGTTTGTTTTATTTTTTCCCCCCCCACTTCCTCCAGCAACCCATAATGCTAAAGATAAAATGCACGCTCTAACAAGTTTAGATAACATAACTTTTAACTAACTTGTAAAAAGTGACTAATTTTTTTTTTCCATAGAGAAGCAAGAGTTTTTACTTCTCCTTTTGCAATTCTTCAGCCCCAGGCAGATGTTAATTTATACATACAACTGGAATCTAACACATTTTATCCAGTTCCCAAAAACTGTGCGCTTGGGAAGATGTGCGTAGTGCAATGTTTGGTGTTTGGGATAAAAATCTTGTCAGACCCCAACCATGACTGCCTGTAATGGAGGGCTATACCACATAATTTTACACTTGCTGGTGCACAAGGAGCTGATCAGCTCCATACATATTTAAAGAAATGCTCTGAAACATTAAATGTGGTTGAGTTACCATCTTATCATGCCATAAATTGGCCTAAGTTGTGACATGTTACAATCTAGTGTGGAATTACCATATTTACTTGAATATAAGATGACTCTGAATATAAGACAATGCCCCATAATTAGATTCCATATATGGAAAATGTATGAATTTGTTAATTTTTCAGGTATAGAATCTAATTACTGGAGGTTTGCCAAAAGGCTCATGATTTACCATATAGTTCATTGGACCGGACCCCATAAGAGTCAACAGCATTTCAAGTCATGGTGACCCCACAGCTCAGACTTGCTCAGTATTATGTGTATTCCGGATACCCCCTACAAAGGATCCATGTGCTAATTTGCCCCCCAATCACGACTGGGACTGGGAGTTCTTGCTGCAAGTCCTGGGATCCTCCAAAAATTATATGCAGATGAGGCACAGGGAAACTTGGTCTGGTTCCATCTCATGTAGGGTACAGCCATACTAACATATTCAACAGGCTGAGAGAGGGGGTGACAGACAGATTCTGGGTGAACAGTTTGGGGCCCTGTTTTATGATGTTTACCAGACATTTAAGGCTGATGAAGGAACAAGGATCAATGGAAATGGGAAAGACAGGCACAACTTAGCTGTGGGAGCAAAGAGGAACTAAAAATGTATTCAGTGCAGTGGCTCACCATGACTTGGAAAAGAGTTGGTGCTGAGGGGAAATACCATGACCACTATGGTGGTTTTTCTACTGGCAGGGGAAAACCATTTTCTTGGCAGGGGGTAGTACCTTGACTGAGGTACGGCATAGTTAGTCTCCCACTTCCCCTTCCAGTGGGAAGATCTTGGCTATACACTAACTTTATGGAAATAGGAGATTCCTCCCTAGCTTGCTCCTATGGCTATATGGCCTCTGGGCTTGGACCTGAACATAAGATGCCTGCCAAAGTATTTGGAAGCATCTGAAGCCCCAGGCTGGGGTGGAGGATGCTTGCCAGTAGTAGGGCTACATATGGCTCTTGAATGACTCATGGATTTGGAATTGGTTTGGCTGATTTGACTTGGGACACAAATTTTTTTATTTTTATTTTTTTTATTTTTTTTTTAAAGGAAAAAAAGTAGATTCCCGTCAGTATATTTGCCCAATATGGGCCATGTGTTTTATAGTCATGCTCAGTGTTGGCTGCATTTAATCAACTTCATAGTTGGTTACCATTACTGAGCACATGCTGCTTTTAGCAGCAGTTTAGTGATACATCATATATTTAAGGAGGTTTCCTTGAACGCGAATGAATGCAGGATGAGGAGCTTTTTTCCCCAGTGCTGTTAGTGTCTCGGAAATCATAATTTTTCACTGACAGCACAGCCTCTTTAGATCAGAAAGAATGGGAATAAACGTGAATTAAAAGTATTCATTTTACACACGTGTGCGTGCGGTAATAAAATAGTTATGATGAAGCAGACTATTTTACCTTATCTGTATCGACAAAGCCAAAGACTATTATACATAAAAGATTTCACTCGCTCATTTTTAAAATGTTTCAAGCAACTTTAAAAGAATTTGAAAGTAAATGCACGAATCTTTCAGTTAACATTTTGAGACTTAACAGGAAAGACATTCCTCAGGGCAAGGGCTGCATCTTTCTAAGCGTTTTTCCATTAAATACACTGCTCACTGGGGCCCCAAATCCTGCTTTGTGCTCCACAGAATTAAAAAGTCAGAAGACTACTGATAATTAGATTACATTTCTCAAGAACTATATAACTTCACTGATTAACTTATCAATGACATTAGCTGGATATTTATATAAAATCCTCTTCAGAAGCTTCTGAATATAACCTATTTTTCAAAAAGTAAAATTAAAAAAAAAAAAATCTAAAAACATGGTTACTTTTGGAAAAATATACTTACTTTCAAATTTGCGGCCATCATACTGGAAAGCGCTGAATGAGTCAGAATGGCTATCTGAACTGATAAGATCACTGCTTCCTGCACTAGCAGGAGAGGTCCATTCAGAAGGAACACCTGGATCATCTATAGGACGCATTTGGTTTTGCTTGTTCAATATGTCAGGAAGATCTTTTGGAACTTCTAGGCTGCCAGGACTGCTACCTCTTCTTGTCACATTCTAGAAACCAGATTATTTTACATTCTGACAAGGTTTCATAACAGTTATTGCATATTTATAAATGCCAATATACAGGAAACAGATCACAAGGAACCAAATTTATAATGTTAGAAGATTAAGATCCATTTAAATTGTAAAGTTTTTGTTGTTTATAAAAAGCTATTTTATTTTTTTTAATATTCAAATTACAATGTTTTGGCTAAGTTTCATCTCCTTATTTGAGCATATAATATGTTTTGAAAGACTGGGCCTGAAATATACAGACTGAAACATGCATTTCCTAAAATGAAAGACAGAAGGTTCAATTTCAAGATTTTCAGGTTCCCTCCAAAATGTTAAACAAAATGCCATGACCTCAACTTCCAGCAGATATTGGTGGGAAAGGAAAATAAGTTTAAAGATAAGTCTAACAATTTTTAACCTGTAACTTTCAAACCTAAAAGAAACATCTCAGAATGGACTACCACAAGGTGTAATGAAACCTACAGTCTTGCTTTCCTAACAAAAAAAATTAGGAAAGTGGGTTTTTTTGCTGGTCTCTCTCAATTATTCTATTTACGCGTTACATTTATATCACAATTAATATGTTAATAATGGCATAATTAGGAAGGGTGCTTCATGTGCTCCTGATTTAAGGTGTCATAAAATGTGGAATGAGCCATAAAAATGTTCCACATATAACGTAGAATATTTTTATGGCTTGTCTGTATAGTGCCTTAAATTTAACGCATGGCTGGTGGCGGACAATCAGTTGATTGTTGGCCGGGCTGGAGGATAGATTGGTGGGGGGGTGTGTGCAAGGAGCCGAATGGGGGCACTTTAAACCCTGTGCTGGGTAACAGAGGCTCCCAAGCTAGGGTGGGAGGGCAGGGAAGAGGCAAGCTGCCCAGTGCAGGGAAGCAGATGTTCCCAGTGGAAGGGAACCCTTTGGCTTCCCCTGCCATGGACTTTAAACTCCAAAATCGAGCAGCTCTGGCCAACTGGGTCTAGGATTGCACCTAGGTCTGGAACCAGCCCCAGTGTGGGCACCTGATCCAATTGACAAACAGCTGATTGTGAGCCATCAGAAACTGTACCAGGATGGTTCCAGACCGTAGTGTGGTTCCCCCAGCTGAGCTGACAATCAGCTGATTGTCAGGAACCCAGCTTTCAACTTGAGGGAGCAGCAGGAACCCAGGATTCCCCCTGCATTGGCAAGTATGGCATGACTGGGATCTGATACCCAATTCCAAAACTGTATGTCCTGCCATGAACGTGCAACATGGCAGGAAACGCGACTATTGGGATTGCAGATCAGATCCCATTGTGTCTTTACACAAAGATCTGTGAGCATCCAATATTGCTATTTACAAGCCAAGATTGTTTGGTTGAAGTTGCTGAACAGCTATTTGACAAAGCTGTTTTCTGCAACAGCTTGCATTTTCTAGAAATTAATGCTAAGTGACTAACGATGATGGTAAAAGAATTTCTTTGTTTGTTTACATTGGATCCAATCTCATCTTTGTCCTTTTACTACTACTGTTAGTTCTTAATTAGAGCTTTAAACTGGATCAGTTTCATGGGTAATTTGCACATATTGCTGGGCCAGCTGCGTTTGCAAAGTATATAATGTATCAATAATTAAAATGGGAAAGACATGGGATGCGTTCAGAAAAGAGAAAAAGAACAAGCACTTCAGACACTTAACGCACATCTCTAGCCACCAATCATTAATCAAATTCAGCTGATAATGGGAAAGGGACCTCCTCTTCTACCTCTTATTGGCGAGAACTAAATTATTCTTTCCAAACTTTGCATGTGAACATTTTTTAAAATGACATTTGATGTGTCCAGCATTTTGGAAAACAATTTATTAACAGACAAAAAGTGAAAAACTTTGAAATAATAAATATAATCTGTTTCCTACCATTTCTTTGTTCAAAACAAAGGAATGTAATAAAACAGTAACTTTTCCTATCCCTATCACTGCCAGTTAACATGCATCTTTTCTGATCACCTGCCTGTTCTCATGCTTCCACTGATAACCCAATTCAATTTTCTTTACTCAAGGCTGCTTTCATGGTTATGAATGAAATTGTTTCAAATAACATGACATTATTGAACAAATGTTACAAGAGAGATTAAAAAGGGCTGGGTCCACATGAGAAAGCTATTCAATAAAAATATCCTGACATATAGAAGAAGAGAAATGGAGGCCAAGTGCATGACAGTTTGAAGAGCAATATACAATACCATATTGTGCAGTAACTATACATACAAAGCTCTGATCCTACAAACAGTTACATACAGAAATTAATCCAAGTGAACATATTAAGACTTCATTTGCCAAAGTTACTGTTTGCAGTATCAGGGTCTTAATTAAAATGAAATATTTTAGCATATAAATCTACAGATTTATGATTTAATATGTGCTTGCCCATGATTCTTAATATCTAGAATAAAGTGTCTTCATACGCTGAACAATAATTTTACTTCTAAATTTGTGAAAGAAAGTTGCAAAATCTTACCAATGCACTACCACTGCGGAGTCTCTCAGCTATAAATTCATCCATAAGGTCAGGAACATTTGTATTGCTACTGCCAATATCACTACCAACAGGGTGTGGCTTTTGACTCAAGTCGTCTCTATTAACTAAAAGCAAATGAATAACTATATATAGTAAAGGATACCCAACACCAAATTAAAAACACACAACAACAAAATCAACTGAACAAGCTTCATTTAAAAAAAAAAAATACTTGCAATACATGCATTTCCCACCTCTTAAATAGATTAATTTTAAGAATTAGTAAATCCTCCTTTTTACCTACTAAGCAGGTGTTAGTTAATTTCCAGAATAACCTTTAAATAGCAAGAAAGCTTACAGATGAGCATTACTTAAAGTTGTTAATGCTTGCTTTAAGGATATAGCATACATCCTTCTTCCACATTACAAAAAGAAAAAGCAAAATCCTAAGAATGTTTCTGTAGTTCCTACAGAAACACCTTTGCCACTGTATTCTTAATGAGGAACAAGATAGCTGAAAAAGGAACTACAATACTGGATACTAAAGTTGAAGTTAAAGATATAGTTCAATGTGGCCCTGTATAGTCAGTACACTCACAAATAAAATCTTGTGCAATAAAAAAAAAAAAAAATAGATGGTACAATATGGAATCAAAACTCAAAAAACTCATTATATGGCCAGTGATTAATGAAATGCTCTTGTTTGTTCGTTTTTTGCAGTCTATATGATTACATTATTTTAAATTATAATACAAATATTATCAATAACTGTAGGATTTTAGCCTGCAAGTTGCAAATTGTTCCAGCTCATACACTTCATAAGAATTATCCTTCAATATTATCTCTCAGTAGCTTAATATGTAACTAATTATACTAATAATAGAGATTTTATTAAATATAAACTTATTTTAAATAATAGTGATGTTTTGAAATAATTCCCATCTAAGAACTGCTAGAAAACGTATCTGAGTTTTATTTTTAAAAAAATGGACAAATTTGTCAAAATGAACTCATAAGAAAATGTTCTCTTTTCTTTTTTGGGGGGATATATTATGGTACCATTGAATTGCTGCTCAGAATGTTGCTGTGCTATGTTTACAAAGACTGCCCTCAGGTGGCATTAACATCTCAATGCAGGATGCATTTTAGAACATTCTGTTAACATGCTCGCATAACAAATGCAAGAAAGGCAAACCTACCTTACTGCTGAAAGTTAATGTATTGTTCATTTAGGGTTATTTAAGATGTGAATGAAAATGATGGATATTAGAGCAACAGCCTTTTTCTTTTTGATCAGCCCACAGAGATCCCATAATTAGCACAAGGAAAGCTATCATAGGATCTTTATGCACATCTAAGTTCCCAGGAAAAAAGAAAGCAATGAAAAATGTTGCCAAGAAGTAACTGTATCCACTTCAATGAATGCACATAGAAAGGCTCAAAGCACATTTTGAAAATGGTTCAAAGAAACAAAAAAAGACTAAATCCACTTTGGATTGTCACAATGAAACGTAATACGGAATTTCTGTTCCAATTTTTTTCTTCTTTTTACTTAGCATTAGTTATAAAATAACTGCTTAAAAGCCAAATAAAAAATTCCAACTCCCATTTGGGGACTTTTTTGTTTTTGAGGAGGAGGAGGAAGAACACATACTAAATGAACCAACAATTAAATTAATTCAAACTAACTGGTTGATAGCCAAACTTTTGCCAAACTAGGTACTAGGACTTTCTATTCCACTATAAAATATATATGCCAACCATTCAACAGGCTGAATTTCAAGACCCTCTAGGATGTTAAAATATGATCCCTTGGTAGGTCATTTGTTGTCTCTTCCTCTCCCCTGACTTGTTCTTCAGCAGCAAAGAGGTTCAACTCAATATCTTTAAAAGGAAAATTAGTAATTTAAAAAGTATAAAAATAACTTATGCTGGGGGGGAAGATTCAGCTGGCTAAAGGCGCATGCACAACCAAACAGGGAAAGCAGTGATCATCCCAAAAGCCTTTTGATTGCTTATCAGAGCTTGCTTCAGTTGCATTAAGCCAAACTGGTGCTGCCTCTCTCTTTTTATGCTCTGCACACTGTTAGTGCTCACCTGCAGCTTTCCTTCCAAAATAGCCCATTACATGACTGTACAGATCCCTCAGTGGAGCCTCTGCTGGCATTCTGTTCTGCCTCTGTGGGGAAACATTTGCCTTCGGCTTCGAAAGAGCATGTACAACAGTTTTATAAACACCACCCAGGGATCCCTGCTGTTGTCCTGATTCCTGACCTGATGATCTAAGTGTACTATGGTTATGCATCTGATTAACTGCAATACCTTCTTTCTGCAATGTGGCTGTTTCAGCTTCTGTAGATTCCTTAATCTGTTTATTACTAACTGAAGCTGGATTGACTGCATCTAGAGGCCTGTATACTCCTGGTCTGACCAGCTCAGGGACTGCAGATGAGCTGCTGCTTGCACTTATACTGCTGTTGGCACTACTACTACTACTACTGAAGCCACTGAGTTTACGAAGTCTTGCCTTCCAGGGAGCCTCTTTGTTTTCCAGAGGATTATAAAACTGCACTGACTCAGTAGATGGTCTAAAAGTAACATGAACACTATTTCTTTTCTTAGTAGTTATTTTCATGATTTTGGCCCTGTGTGTTACTGTTTCCGATATACTCCTTTTAGTTGGTGAAAGTTTGCTCATGCCTGTAATGTGAGGGATTTCAGGGTTAACTGGTGCTTTAGGAAGAACTTTCTTTGCATGCATAACATGTGTGATGGCTATGTTTTCGTTAAACCGGGCACTTTTATCCTTTTCAGCTAATGCTATTTCCAAAGCTACATCAGGTTCAGTGGCTCTTTGCCTTTGTAGGTATCTCTTGCCGTCTTTGCTACTAGGATTACTTGTCCCATGCTCAAATAACATCTCATTTTGTTTATCAGTATTAAACTGTCTAGCTTTATTGATCACTTGACTTGTAAAACTGTCTACTTGAGTAGGTGCAATATTACTTATAAAGCCACTTTGGTTTTGTTCTAAGCTTAGCACCACATTATCAGCTCTTTCGGCAACATTGGAGCTAGTTGCAGATTTAACAGTCTGATCTCTATTTTCTAATCCATCCAGTGGTAATCTATTATTCCTATTTACAGTTGTATCAACTTCACGAGGAGAAGCCTCATATTTATCTATCTCAAGGTTATTGAAAAGTTCTTCTTTTTCCTTAAGATATTCTCTCAGAGAGGAAAGAAGATCATCTTCACCTTCAAGGTCAACACACTCGCTTTGTTCAAAAGCTGTACTTGCAAGATCTATTGGCCCTATTAAGTGACAGAGATGGTCATAAATACTATCCCCAACTTCCAGAGAAGACACTCTGCTATTTGTAACATGACTTTCAGTGGATCTATGTATTGAAGAGGTCTCAGTGGAACTCTGTAAGCTTGGAGCATGATGAGATGAACTGTCAATGACAGGAACTGCACCTTTGGCTCGTTCAACTGCAAATGGTTCCAGGATGTCAGACGTACTGCTACTTCGCGGCAATGGCTGTTCTTCATTCAATGTGCCAAAAACTTCACTTGGTGTGTCCTCACTCTGTGAAAAATGCCTGACTCGAGATGGACGCGGAAGAATTTGAGCATCATCAATGTCTGTAAGAAAAAAGTTATATATAACATCTTCCAAATTAAATATAGTTATATTTATTCATACCTAAATCCTAATTATATGCTTTAAAAATCCAGAAAAAAATCCAGTGCGTTTTTTTAAATACAGCAAAAGATATTTTATCCAATGCTAAAATGTTAAACATACACAATATCTAGTACAGAATGCGATATGAGTTAGACTATCAGAACACAGTTTTAAATGTTAACATGCATGGAAACAGACAGTGAGATCATGGAACATTTGGAAGTACAGTTAAAGCTAGGGCTGTGCCAATAAGTCAAACAATTTGACCAAAATTGTTTTAAAGACCCTGTTCAAAAAAAGGAAAACAGTTGCTTATAGTACAAATTATCTGATCAGCACTCAGCAGTAGCCTCCATAGATTTTAAACTCTTGAGAAATATATAAAAAACAATAAGATAATTTAGCAGTTTTCTGGAAAACTACAATTGTGTATTTTTGTGTTTAACAGCTAATATGATTATCCATTAATTTATATACTTATATAAATAATAGCAATTCTATCAGATAATTTTGTGCATTATATACATAATGTACATTGGAAGAGTTAAATCATTAAAAAGATGACTGGGAGAAGTTTTGGTTTTTGGAAAATACATCAATAAGAATAAATTACCATTCTCTTTTTGCTAAAAAGGCTATTTGGTAGTATCAAAAATGTTAAGCTAACTTTAAAAGTTAACTTTGGGCAAGCTCAACAAATCTCAAGTTTTACCCAAGTAAAGTTACTAAGAGTTATGGAAGCAATGATCTTGAAATTAAAATTTTAATCCACAGAACTGCCAGTGTAAAACCAATTAAGTCAGAGAAACCATTTTGATAGGTGAAAGAAGACGGAGCATTTTTCCTGCCTATTCAATGATTGGTTCTTAGCCCCTTTTCTGAGACTGCTAATATGAGTGTAAATGATTAACTGTAGCGAAGGCTGCTGCATTCACAATATGTATCACCTAGGAAAAGGTCAAAGATGCCATCACCTAATTTACCTAGTCTGGGTGTGACAAACTTATAGCCTGTTGGTTAGATATAACCAGCAGAACAGTTCCATCTGGCCCACTTGTAGTCTGGTGGGCTATTGGAATGTGGGGGGGGGGGGCATAGCCTGCCACAGAATATGGGGTCCCTGTACCCCCATGGATATGACCATAGGTGATCCAGAATTTTAAACAGGGGAGTGCAGAAGCAGTGCTTGGTGCTGTAGAGATGGCTGCTCTCTCCTGCTCCCAACCACTTTTCCCCTCCCACCACCAGGGTAGGCAGACCATGCAGCCAGGGACTTTTTTTTTTTTTTTTTTTAAGTCCCCAGATCAGGTAAGAATTTTCTCCTTCCCCAATTCCAGCATCACTCCTTTCCTGTCCAGGCTCAGCAGCACCTCTTCCTCTCCCTGCCCTCTTCCCTCACCTTACCCTTTCTACTTACGGGCACCTACCCTGGAGATCTTCAAAAGGAGACTGGATGCACACCTTGCTGAGGTTATTTGACCCCAGCAGTCTTTCCTGCCCAGAGCAGGAGGGCTGAACCCGATGATCTCATGAGGTCCCTTCTAGCCCTAAATTTCTGTGAATCTTGTGAATCTTACCTGCGAAGCAGAGACCAGCCTGGTGCCACCACTGTCCCAGTTGCTCCTGCCCTGCTCTAGCAGGGGCTGAGAGGAGCAGCTGTACAAAAAGTTAGGCTTGGTTGGGGACAGTGACAGTGGTTGGTGAGTTCTCTGCCTCTGCCTGCTCCCCAGGCTAGTTGAGAAACACTCAAGGGGATCACGCAGAGAGGGGGAAGTTTGTCTGTTGTTGCTGCTGTCCCTGCCTAAGCCCAGCTTCTCAGGCAGCCCAACTTTAGTGGGGCAGGAGCAACTCGAACCCGCCCACCTCAGTGAGGAAGTGTGGTACACGGGGGGAAAGGAGGAGGTGCTTCTCAGCATGGACAGGAAAGGAGGGGGTGCTGAGAAGGGGGAAATTCATACTTCCTTTAGAGACTTTAAAAAGTCCTCAGTTGGTGCTCCCATGGGATGGTCTGAAATGGAGATGCAACAGCACCACTTCACCCTCTCTGGATCCACCCCTGGACACGGCCAGTGGCAGGCCCCTAGACCCATACCTCCTGTCTGAACTTGGACCCATGCCACCACCTGCCGGTAGACCCACACTGCTGCCCACCCCCAGACCTATGCCACGGCTCAGTCCCAGAGCCACCACGACTGCTGCTGGCCACACAGATCAGGCCTGGAAGCATCTCCCATGGTCTAGATTCAACCTGGGGCCTAAAATGAGTTTAAAATGCCTTAGTCCAAAAAATTGAGAAATTAGAACTTCTTCCTTCAGAATCCCTAAAATGCTACAAAAAGCAATGTGTAACAATAAATTAAACAGTACCAAACTGGCAATATGGGATATAAAAATTGAAGTTATCAGTCAAGATTAGATGTTTGCTATAGACAGTCAAGCAGTTGTAGATATCAGAGAGATTCTCGGTAGCATTTTATGGGACTTGAATTTTTTTATTTTATTTTTTTTTACAATAAAACTATCTGCCTCATTTTTAGGACCATCACATGCTTGGTAGGGATTGCTTTTTATTTCCCGATTTTTTTATAGTCAGAAACACTGTTAGAGAGATGAAAGGAATGCCATCAAGTTTAGCAGACCATAAAAACAAACAAACTGACTTACCTTAATTGATAGTCCATCTAAAAACTCATACTCAGGACTGCAATGGTGATTTTATTTGCAACCAACTTATACTCCATACCAAAACGTAACAATAAAAGATATCTGATGTGTTAGATGATCTATTCAATGTTAAATGGAGGAAATATTAACATCTTAAAATGATTTTAAAATAATTTTAAAATGATGTGACTGAATAGTTATTACTGCCACAGTTATATTCCAGTATGATTTAGTTGCAACTGACCAGAAAGTACTTAATTGACCTCTGGTTTTAAACTGCTTACACTCTTCTGGGAAAAATGAGTCTTTTAGCTGAAATTTCTAAAGTTTTTCAGATTCAAGTGTTTTGGAAGTACAATGCATTTCCACTTATCTATTTGCAGAAAATATTGTGGAGAAGAAGTGAAAAGAGTACAGAGTTACTTTCATACTTAAATTTTTTGTGTTTTTTGTGATAAAAATGTAAATGATCTTTTTTAACAACAAGTTTGCCCTGGGTTTAAATCTTGGGGCCTGATCAAGAAGTTATGGACAATAATCAATGGACATCTTCAAATATGATAGCAGACTCTGCATGGATTTTTAATGATGGCATACAGAAGTCTATTTGCAAAGGGAGAATATTGGATTCTCTGTCTACCTCTGCCTACAAAATAAGCATGAGGTGCCAAAATGCGATGTCAAAATCCAGCAATTCTTCATAATCTGATCACCCATTAACGTTCTTTCGTAACCTAATTAGCAGCACATTAGATAAAGAGATTGAAAATTAAATTATCGCTAAATATTTGAGTTAACAACTCAAGGAGATAAATGGAGGGCTTCTCAGTATTTTGAGTCATTATTTCAGATGTCAGGGGATCAGTTATGCTCTGTTCATCTTTTGAAAGTTTTTTTTGCAGACCTAAGAGTTTGAGACTCACAAATGAAAACAGATTCTGGGACACAAGATGTGTACTGCAAAAAAAAAAAAAAAGTTAATTCACTGATCTGCAAATCCCAAATATATAAACCCTGGCAACGAGAGCCTTTGATGTATTACATGAACTTCAACTTATAAATAAAATATAAGTGGTGTGGATTTTTAGTACATGTTAAAATTAATTTACTGGATGGAGAATTCTAAATATATGTAAGCCTAAGGAGCTCAGCACATTGGAATAAACACAGCTGCATTTTCATCTCTATTTGTTAAATGCTGATGATGTGCTAATCATACACATACATATATATATATATACATACACACATACACACACACGTGAGAATGCAGACAGTAGCAAACAAATGTGTTCTGCTTGTGCCATCAATATTTTCCCCTTTTTTGGAAGAGAAAAAAATTAAGGAACTCAAAAATGGAAATGCATTAAGATGTCTTGTGTTACAGTTAAGAAATGTATTAATTTGTTCATAAGTGTAAAAGTTATATGTTCCTCAGCAACTGCAATTCATACATGCTGTACACTTGTGTTAATTCAGCCTGGCACACTATCTGTGAGTGTCTCATTATTAACTGTATTGCAGTAGTACCCTGAGGAGCTTGAATCAGATCTTTCTTTCACATATATGAAAACATGTCCTTAATCCTTAAGGACAGACAGGTTCCTAAGATTTTGGAAATACCGGTGTTGCAGGAGCATAAATATAATTAGGGAAGGGATGTGAAAAAGCTGAAATTGGCAGCCATTCCCCCTGCCTCCCCTGCCATGACGTGTGCTCTCTCACATGACCTCCCCATCTTTATCTACTAGGAGACGGGAGAAATAGGCAACTTTTTAGCAGCTAGTGGCAGGCACGATGAACTGGCAGATAGCCAAGATTTGGATTCAAATTCAGAGATCAGCTCACAAGAGTAGGTGGGCAAGTAGAATACTGTCCATATAAATTCAAGGGAAGATTACAGAAGTCAACTAAGGTGGGTTTAGAAAATGGAAACTAGCAGATTTTTTTGGCTTTGAACCCTCAGTGCTCTTTTAAAAACAAATTACATTACTAATTATTCTGTAAGTTTCTACAGTTAAGGGCGTAAAGTATGTAAGAAACATCAGCAGAAGCAGGGCTGGCCACTGTGACATGATTAACTCTGATCTGACTGTTTTACTTCTCAGTATATTGCTTCACCAGCATTTTAACTGGATTTGAAGAAAAACATGTAAATATACAATAGTAAATAGTCTAATATTGCTTTCTTCTTGTTTTTTTGCTTCCTTTGCCTTTTTCACTGTCAATGCTTTGAAGTTTCCCCACCCTTCCCTATTCACTAAACCAACTTTGTTCTACCTACAAATGCTTC